CCGCCCCTGGGAGAGGCCCCGCACAGCACCACGGCATGCAGCCGCACAGGGCGGGCCCAGACAGCAGCGCTGCGCTTAGAAGGGCCGGCGTGCTGCGGAGGTCCTGCTCCAGCGTCCTCGGGCTTTTAGGGCGGGCACCATGTATGAACTGCCCAACGGTGGGCTCCCGTCTCTGCAGCACCAGTGCTCTACGCGCACTCACGCTGAGTGTGGCACCAAGGCTGTCAAGAAGGTTGTGGGACTGCACTACGGAAGCCTGTGCACGGGTGTCAGAGTGTCTCACACCCTGTAAACGCGTACTTTCATTCTATGTTACGTCTTTTTGAAGAGCCCTTGAAGGGAGAACTATGAATGGTGATTCAGAAACTTTCTTACCTAATCAAGTATTTTTTTACATTTTTTAAAGATTTATTGACTTATTTCATTCTTCTTGTTACTATTATTTTTTAAATTTTGACCAGAAAGAGAAAGGGAAAGCAAGAAAGCAGGGTGCCAGGTCTGGGACTCGAACTACGGTCAGCCACGTGGGAATCCAGCGCCTTTAACCTCCACACCACATGCCGGCCCTACCTAGCCAAGTTTTACTGATATGAAATGACAATAAACAAACACATTTGGAAAAGATACCACCAACATGCCTTTCTTGAAAATACAGTGGCTGGAAGACAGCAGCTGGCAGTTCCGACAAATCGAGAGGATAAGAGGGGACGTCCCAGCCCGTCACAGCCACCCTAAGTCCCAGCGCAGGACCTGCAGAGTGCAGGCTCAGACCGGAGCGGCTCCTCTGCACAGCCACCCTGCGTGCTGCACCCACGGGGCGCCACCAGGCAGCCCACACCAGCCCTGCAGGGCAGCAGCGCCACATGGCCAGAGCCCACAGGGGTGGTGTGCTCTGCTTCCTGGAGCCGTGGGTAGGAACGAGTGCAGAGCAAAGCAGCCCCCAGCACTGCCGGAGTGGACAGAGGGGGCGGCCAGAGGCCAGCGAGGGCCTGGCCTGTCGAGAGGAGACCAGAACCATCGCAGGAGGAAGGCTGGCCAGAAAGGGTTTGAAGCCGGGAAGCGACGAGGTGGCGCCAGACACCGCGTGCCTGAGGCACAGAGGCTGACCTGGACTCTCAGGGGTGCAGCGGAGGGCCATGGGGTGTGTGGAGAGGGCCCCGGTGCGGGGAGGCACCTTGCTGGGGGTGGGAGAAAAGCGAGGAGGTGGCGGACTCGTGCGCTTACTGCACGTGCCCCCGACACCGACACGGACCTGCAGGAGCCACGGCAGACCAGACTCGGTTTCCTCCCGGCCAGCTGACCTTCCAGAGAAGTGGGCCACAAGCACGTGCCACGAGAAGGGGGACCTAAAACGCATTCTGAGGGGACGATGGTTTTGGGGTTTGATGCCACTTTCACGTATAAAATATAGAAATGCCATCTAAGGAATTCCTTTCTCCCTTTACAAAAACGCGCGCCTGTGTGTCCCCACCCCACGGGCTGGGCGGGCACATGGAGGGGCCCGGCACTGGACAAGAGCTCAGGGCTCTGCGGAAGAGCCGCCATGTGGGCCCCCACCTGCACAACTGTCACGTGTGTGCTGACCGTCACCCCCGGCAAGCCCGGGCTCACTAGGGGAGAGGCCGTTCATGACCCAGCAGTCGCCAGTGCTCAACTACGCTCAAGCTGGCAGAGCCCACCGGGTGCTGACAGCCTGCGCCCCGGAGAAGGCCCGAGGGGAGCTCGGTAAGTGGGCAGGGGGTCGACCTGCACAGCTCCCAAGGCTCGGGAACCCACGTCAAGAGGTTCTAAATTCATTTGATTCGTGTTGGATCAAACCCAACATGTCCAAAATACTGTCAGATCCATAGGTGACCACACAGGAGCGGGACACTTGCGCTCCCTCAGGGGACACACAGGAGCGGACGCTGTCACACTCTGTATTCCTTTTTTGTTGTATTCATTTTCATTCATTTAAGAATTATTTATTTTATTCATTTATTATTATTATTTCAATTTGACCAGACAGAGACAGAGAACAAGAAGGCAAGTCTCTATCTCTAGGGCTCAGACCATGTTGGCCTGCGGGAGTCCAGCGCCTGACCACCATGCCACTGCCGGCCCTACTGCCTTCATTTCGTTCATCCTGTTTTCATCGTGTACCCTGAGTACAAAACCCAGCAGTCTCTTCTACCTGCCAAGCTGATCCGCACACTGCATTTTGATTGAGGTCCTGGGTTTAGAACTTATAATTTCCAGAGCTGAAAATACTCCACCATTATTCAGGCGAGGGCAGTCTACAGCTGGCCTGGGTTCCTAGCGAGGCCGATGGCACGGCAAGGCTGGCAGGGCTAGTCTGTCCACAGCCCAACACAGCGCCCACAGTAAACGCGTGACCTGGCTGAGCCTGGTGGGAACAGGCACAAACGCACGGGGAGCAGACGGAGCCGGAGGGCGTGACACCGTGGGCGTGAGTGTGCACCACGCGGACGAGGACGGGGAGGAGGGCCGGGTCTCAGGTGGTTCAGCCAACCAGTCTGCAACTTCGCACGTTCTGTGTCAAGTTTTAAAAATAAAATCATAAGAAAAGCGCAAGAGAAAAGTTCTGCTAAGCCTGGCAGAAGAGCTGTCACAGCTCAATGTCATTTCGAAGTAAGCCCTCGCCGAGCAACTGGCCCCGTCTCTCTTGCACAGTTCTGACTCCGTCCACCACTCCCCGCGCAAAGGCCAGCACGGCGCCCCAGGCTCGCAGTTCTGGCACCGTGGCATTCCCTGCACACACCTGCATCCCAGAAACACGCATGGAGCCCCTCCTGGGCCAGGCCTGGGCAGGCCCTGAGACCCGGCAAGGAGAGGCTGCCTGTCTCAGGGTCGGGAGGGGTGCAGCAGGCCAGGCCCCTGCAGCCCTGCCTCACCCTTTCCACCCACACTCCGCATGGGAGCTGAGCTCACACTACCCTCCGGCTCTCAGGCTTCTGAGCACCCGAAAGCAGCTCCAGCAATGTGGGCCGAGGGGATGCAGCAGCTGTGGGCCGAGGGAGGAAGCTCACTCGGATTGTAAGCCGTGTGGTTCTCCACGGGATGCTGCCACCAGGCAACGCAGACCTCCGGTGGGGAGACCACGGTGCTGCCCAGGAAACGGACGACCTGGCAAGGAGGAGGCGTGGGCGTCCTCAGGACGGGGCATTCCACGGGCGAGAAGTGGGTCCGGCCGGCACAGCCCGTCTGGGCGCTCCAGCCAGGCCCCTGCTGTCGGCGCAGACGGAACCTCTGAAAACCCAAAGTGAGTGCCAGAACTGCCCGGCGAGGCACGAGCACAGGTGGGGACGCCACCGCGAGCGTGGGCATGTGGAAACAGGAAGGCCGCACCGAGGCGCGGGGCGCGGGCTGTGATTGCTCACGTTCACTGCGAGCTGAGTGCGTGTCGGCACTTTCCACACTGAGAAGCCCGAGTTACGGGTTCAGTTACGGGAAACAAGGATGGCTGCCCGGATGCCGAGTACGTGCACACGCTGGCGTCAGCCCGGGCCCTCCAACTAGAAGCCGGACCGCAGTCCCCGTGGACGGCCTGCAGTCCCCGTGGACGGCCCGCACGGCAGTGGGCAGAGACCGTGAGTAATAAACCCTCCGGGACGGAACTCCGTCTCACAACGGCCAGTGTCCGAGGCCGCACATTCTAGAAATGTGTGTCCTGCTCCATGTAGTCCCTCAGAGACCGACCAGACGGGGGGAAGAGGAGGAAGAAAGGGGGGAAAGGGAGAGAAGGAAAGAGAAGGAGAGAGAGGGAGAGAGAAAGAGAGAGAGGGAGAGAGAAAGAGAGAGAGGGAGACAGGGAGAGAGAGAGGGAGACAGGGAGAGAGAGAGGAGAAAGAGAGAGAGGGAGGGAGGGAGAGAGAGGAGAAAGAGAGGGAGGGAGGGAGAGAGAGAGGGAGACAGGGAGGGGAGGAGGGGGGAGGGGAGAGCGAGAGGGAGGGGGGGAGAGAGAGAGGGAGACAGGGAGAGAGAGAGAGAGAGAGGGGGAGAGAGAAAGGGAGAGGGAGGGAGGGATAGGGAAGAAGAGAGAGAGAGAGAGAGGAAATAGGGAGAGAAGGAGAGGGAGGAAGAGAGGGAGAGACGGAGGGAAAGAGAGGAGGCACAGAAAGCAGAAGAGCGCGGAGCGCTAGCCCAGGCGGTGCGGAGCTCTGAGGACACGCAGCAGCACAGCAGACAGGCTGAGCGAGTCTGGACAAGCTGCCTGACCCAAGAGCTCAGCCCCAGAGGATGGCGGAGCTGGGCAGAGAAAAACGCGTCCACACTGCAGGCTCCAGGAGGTATTGTAAGCCACACACGGGAGACCAACGGTGATGCCTAGAAATCCGGCACGAACAGGAGAGGGGGCAGGCCGGGAAGGGTGTCACGCCACCAACCAGGGCTCCGACAGCCATGCTGAAGGGGCGGCAAGGAAGGCCTGCAGCCATGCGGGCACTGGAGAGCCTCGGAGCCGGCGGCAGGAGGCGACATGATCCCCCGCTCGGCGCCTGGACATCAGGTCCGTGCTCCGAGCTGCAGCTCAGCAAGGTCACACCCAGCCATCCTGCCTGGCGCCACCAGAGTCTGTGACAGTGGGGTCTGACCTCCGGCACGTATGAGCATGAACCGCAGCGAGGCTGCGGCAGCAGGCTGTCCCCGTCCTGCGTGCGCTCTGGCTCACAGGTGACAGCGTCGATGTGCATCAGCGCCCTCTTACCTTCCGCTGCACGGAGCCCCTCCTGGCCGACTTCATGTCCACGGCCTGGTAGGTGAGCCACAGGCCCGAGTCCACGTGCTGGATGAAGCACACCGAGTCCCCGTACTTGATCTCGGACGCCCCCATGCCGTCCACCTCCTTCCTCACCCCCACGTCCAGCTTTTCCTAGGAGACAGGGAGACAGCAGCGAGGCTTAGGAAGGCTGGACGGCACCCGCGAGGCCCTGCCTGGTCAAGACCCCACAAGGTTCGGCCCACGGAGGTCCCCCTCGCAGGCTCAAATACTCCATTCTGGCTGCGCAGCTTCTGAAAACTGAAAGGGAACGCCACTAAAACAGCACGCTCTCGAACTACTCACATTGGTAGAAAAAGTATTTTAACCAAAACAACATTTTATATTGCTCAGTAGCAAGCTTCACACCAGAGACCGCGGGAGTGACGGCGCGGCCCGCTGCTCCTGCAGGCCATCTCGTGCATTATCGGTGCTGAGGAGCGATGCTCAGGGCACAGGAAGAAAGTTCTAGCCCAGTCCTTGGCCCTTACTACCCTCAGGACTTGAGCAAGTTCACTTAACTTTTTAGCTCGTTTTCCCATCCCTGAACAAAGCTAACAGAAACCCCTCCCGTAGGATCAGAACCAATGATAGCCCACGGGGGACATTTCGGCGGCGTGCCTCGGATCAGGCACCTCCCGCTAGCCTCTGTGACGGCCACGGTGCCGGTCGGGAGATCCGCTCATGGCACACACCTCTGTTCTGAACAGCCCAGGCTGTTCCTCTGTTTCTGCCCTGCAGCTGCCACCGTGGACTTCAGCAGGGTCACCCCCAAAGAGCTACTATGCCGAGCCCCCTGTGCTAGGAAAAACACCCGCCCCTCCAGCGCCAGCTCCGGGCCTCCAAACCCCCGTTTACTGTAAGGCTTCCTCTCACCATGCAGGGCCCGTCATCCCCCCAGGCTTAGCCCTGACTCCAGGGGCTCACTGAGTCCGGCCCTCTGCCTCATCCTCAGGACAGCAGTGAGAAGCCAAAAGCACCCCCTCCCGCGGTTTCTCTTCCTTCCTTCCCGGGTCTAACTTTCCTTGCTAGATTCACGTCAAAGTCCCCTCTGTCTCCGGTTATCTGTCTGCCATCGGAAATCAATTAGAGTCACACAAATAATTTTGAAGATTAGGACGTAGTAAAAGTTATGTCTGTTATACAAAAGGAAACCATTTGAAAAAACACACAAAATTTGACAGGTTTCTTTCATGTAATTTGCATACTCGGTTAATAATTAATGATCCCCAAATGAGTATGAACACATCATCAACAACTGAAAATTACATCCCCAGTACAAAGAGGTCAGTGCCAGATAAGAAAATACACAGTTCTCACCTAAGTTGATGTAACCGTGTTACAATCACTCGGGTTGCCCGTGCTGAGACCATCCGCACTGATCCAGCCCCACCGATGGGAAAAGTGAGTCTGGGGTGTCACTGCTTCCTCTCTCTGCCGTTCCTTTTATCCAAGGAGGTTAGTTATCTACAGGCTGCGGCCTGCATTTAAGAGATCACTCACCCATTGCTGTTTGCTTTTCACCAAAGTAGTTCACATCATTTTCCAGGTTAGAGATTTTCATTGTGAAATTTCATGATGACTGTGTGTTAATAATCATTCTGACCCTCGAGTCAGGTGAGAATTGCTTAAGTCACATGAAAAATGATAAGTATGTGGGGCCCACAGGTGGTGTGGTGGCTAAGGCGCTGGATCCCACATGGCCAGCCCATGGTTCGAGTCCCAGACTCAGCACCCTGAAAAACCTCTGGGCGTTTGTGCCCAAAATCCTGGCAGGAGAATGGGGGAGGAGGGAGTGGCGTGGCCATCCACCTTGGAGGGTGATTTCTCATTTGCCCTCCTACTGTCTCTCCCTCTCTCCAGCCAGTGCATGCCCCCTACAAAAACCTTCAAAAGAAAGATGATGCAAAGGAGCGAAGGGGCCTTCGCAAAGTTCAGAGGGCCAGTCCTGCGCTGCAGCCTTAAGCGCTACACAGAGGAGGCCAGGGGTTCGAGCCCCAGCCCCAGCAACTTCAAAAGAACACAGGCACACGTAGGTGTCCGCCATCCCACAGGACGGCGACTGCCCGGAAGGGCGATGGGTGTGGCCAGGCCCGTGGTGGGGAGGGTGTGCGTGCTTCCTCTCTCTGCCGTCTCTCTTGTATACATGCACATCTTAAGGCAGTAAAAAACAAAGTTCATGGAAAATGAGTATCGGGAACCAGCAGTTAGCGTAATGGCTGTCGCTGGACTCCCACGTAGTCGACCGCGGTTCGGTTTTAACCCGGTGGCTTAAAACTCACGCCGGGTGCGTGTGCGTGCGTGCCCAAGATCCCGAGAGGAGAATGGAGGAGAAGGGATTGTGGCGTGACCATCCCCCCTGGGGGGTGATTTCTCGCTTTCTGTCTCTATGTCTCTGTCTGTCTGTCTGGCGAGCGCACGCGCCCT